CTGCAAGGCCGCGGTGAACAGCTTCGGCGAGATTGTGTCACCTTGTCGGACCCTTTCCCAATTGGTATGGTCAGGGGGCGATGGAATAGCTGCATCGTCGTTGTACAGTCCTTGTAGCAGTCGGCTAACGTCTTCACATAAGCTGGGTCAGCTCCTTGATTGACTAGGGACAGGTGGCGTTGGTTTCGACGCTCTTTCTCTTTTCGACGAAGGGTAGGAGGGGCAGTCGGTACTCCCGCCAGGCCCTCTGGCTCGCAGAAGTTCGTCGGAAAGATGATCTGGTCCTGGAGCCGCGGACGTCTTCATGGTCTGTATCGCGATACCCACTTCAGCAGTTAGAATCCTTCGTGGTACTTCTCCAGTGAGAACAGCGGGCATCGGCAGGGTGTTGATGAGCGGAAGAGGTTGATGTAGAAGTTCTTCGCAATAGATTCCATCTTATATCGGGAAGTCGAGTTGGAGTCCCGTCTTTGTTCAATAGTGCAGCCAGCGGTACATGATATTCGCAGAGGTCTCTTCGGCACTTCTTGAAATTTCTTTCTTCGGCTGCTTCCAGTATCTTGGCGCCTGTACTTGCTGAGATCCTCTTGCAAAGCTGTTCTGCAACTGGAGCTGGGTTGCGTTCGGGTTTTGCCTCAGAAACGTTCTTCTTTCAAGCAGTTCCTTGGTGGTCTTCGAAATGCGTTCCAAGCTCTTCTCAAAAGTCACTGAGGCGCACTCTCCGCAGGCTCGCAATCCCAGAAGTCGACCGTAGTCGTACGTTGGGTCCTCCTCGATGGGTCAGTCACAACTTGATATGAGCTCTTCCAACCTGTTACCGTCATAAACGACTTCTTTTCTTTTTGCGGCACTGCAGACCTTTCCCAGCCTTCGGCTGAGTCTTATCTTCGCTCGGAGGCGGTGATCGGAGCCATTGCAGAAGGATGGAATTACTGAGACATCGAGCAAGCTCTCCCTTCGATTGGTGAGGATCTGGTCGATCTCCGCGTGAGTCGCTCCGTTGAGCAATTCCCATATTCACCGGTCATGCCCTTTCTTCATGGAAATGAAATTTCCACGGAAAAGTCATGCGGCGGAGAGAAGCCCAACGAGACGGTTGCCGTTTCATCTCGGAGTCCATATCCAAACTTCCGGATTCTGTTTCCTTTTCCGGTGGCATCCCGATCTTCGCATCGAAGTCGCCCGCGACGAACTTGTAGAAGGACTCCTCCTTGCAGACGACCAGCTCCACGTCTTTGTAGAAAGCATCTAGTTCTGAATCGTCAGCTGCTGGTGTTGGTGAGTAGCAGCTGATGATGCTGATGGTCTTCAGACGTGGAGGTCGTAGGTTGGCTAATCGAGGCGATAGGATCTCGTCGATTTGATAAGATGGACGATAGATTGGTGGACGACAAAGCCAACGTTTCGTGATGGAACCTTTTCATCAGGAATGATGAGGGTCCCATCACTCATCCGTCGCACGTCCTTCTTCCTGGAATTCGTTTCCTGCAGAGGAATAATGTGGTACTTGATGTGCTCTGCAGCGTGAGAAGAGCGTGGAGGTCAGCGTTTGTTTTGGAGACTATCCTGAGTTGTAGGTGCAGAGCATAAGGCAGTCTTCATGGCATGTCTCCAGGCAAACATGTCGTTTTTGTCCAGTCCATAAGGCGCCCTGAGGACCCTGACAGTTTTTTGATTTGATTTGTTTATTCAGTAAACACATAAGACATATGCGAAAGACAACCCAAACAACACAACGGTTTACCGAATGAGGATAATAAAACAAACAAATCATGAAAAAACAAGTAAACGAGTTATAAGGAATCTTAAGATGATACCAGCATGTTACAGGATTGAAGGTATTCAAGCAAATGAGAGCAGAAGGATGCCGCAGAAGAATACTTCAAAAGCTGGGGGTCCAGACCATTCCAGGGCATCTGCACCCATCCAATGAAGCTTTGCTTATAAGAAGAAAGTCTGTTTTCATCGACTTTAATTTTGAACGGTTGGCCTCGTCAAATTTACCCGCTGTGGTTCTTCAATGTCAAAAGGGTTGAGGTCAAGTTCGTTTGTGGTGAGCTTATAGGTGAATGCAAAATCCGCAAGAACCCTTCTGTCTTCCAGTGTAAGGGTTTGCAATTTTTTGATTCTGCCGAGATAAGACAGTTCAAAAATGCTTTTTCTGGCGAAACTTCCATAAGTGAAAGACTTCTAGACTTTCTCTGTAGCTTCAATCTGTGCTCTACCTTGAGGAGACCACAGAGGCGAGCAGTATTCGTGTATAGGTCTAACGTAAGTAATAAACAGTTTGAAAAGCAGAATGGGATCTCGACTGTTGAATGCTTTGAGGATATGATTTGATCGGCATTTAGCCTTTGAGACAATCTCTGAAATGTACGCATGGAAGTCAAAGCTGTCAGTATACTCAACACCCAAATCACGAATTGAATGGGTACGATGTAGGATGGGCCCATCAAGCGTGAACTCGACTCTAGGGTGGTTTCTGCCGAAAGTCATAACACAGGTCTTCTCCTTGGAATATTTAGCTGCCATGTTGACGACCATGCGGCAAGTGCACTTATGGCTTCTTGTAAGAGAGCGGCATCATTTATGATGTAGATTTTGGAATCATCAGCATAAATGGAACAGAAAGTGCCCACTGGGAGAGCGCTAGGAAGGTCATTTATGTATATGGGAAACAGCAAGGGAAAGGACCGACTCTTGAGGTACACCGCTCGTGGTATTGTAAACACGTGAATTAAGGGTGTTGATGGTAACTGATTGTTGTCTACCATTGAGAAAGGAGTTCAAAAATTTCAGCAATGAGCCTTGGATGCCATAGACTCGGAGCTTAACAAGAAGCAGCGGTATAGAAATAGAGTCAAAGGCTTTGCTGTAGTCTGCAAAACATACAGAGACATATCGGCCTCAATCCAGTTCTCGATCCCAAAGCGGGACCGAAGACATGAGAGCAGACATAGTTGAACTCTTGCTAAGGCTTGATACATACCTCGCTGCTTAGGTATGGACAAAATGTGCGAGCAGCGAGAGCAGCGCTGCTTGAGCTGAGCAGCGCTGCAACTTGAGCTGAGCAGCGCTGCAAGGAACGAAGGATTGCTGACCCGCAACACCTCAAAACACGCGCTGCGTCCTAACTAGGGCGCGATAAATGCCTCAATACATAATTATCGTTTGCCCTTGTTTTATGGGGTCACTTGCGCCTCAGTTCGTTTATCACTTGATTATTTTATGCACGCAAATTAAAACACGCAAATTTCAAAAAAATGAGTTCAGAAACACATAAAATCAGCTGTTGCAGCTCAAAGCAGCTGAGATCAGCTCAGAGCAGCTGAGATACGCTCAGAAAAAGTGAGCGTAACTCAGCTGCAAAATCCAGTTGCAGCGCTGCTCAGCTTGAGCAGCGCTGCGCAGCGCTGCTCAGAATTGAGACGCTAGGTATGGACATGACCTTTCACGTTAGCTGCTGCAGCGCTAAGCAGCGGCGTCACTCCGCTGCAATCAATACGCACTAAAAGCGTTGCTGCCACCGCTACGTATGGACACCCGCCGCCAGGTATGTTTTAAGCCTAAGAAAACCATTTTGTGCTTTGGCAAGTAGCTTACTTTGGCTCAAGAATTTACAATACCTTCGCACAGTATTCTTTCCAAAACTTTACACACTGAGCAAGTCAAACATATTGGGCGGTAGTTGCCAACGGATGTTTTAAAACCCTTCTTGTGGATGGGCTTGACAAGCCCGAGCTTCCAAATTTGAGGAACCTCACCGCTCAAGAGGAATCTGTTGAACCATATGGTAAGGGGGAAGCTAATCCCAGAGCGGCATTTTTTAGAAAAATGTATGGTATCCCGTCTGGAGAGGTGGAGTTCCTTTTTGGCAATTTGCGAAGCCTATTGTAAACTACTTCGGTAGTTATGGCGACCCAGTCAAGTACTTTGTCAGTCTTAGGGGCTAGTGTTACGAAAGTAGGAGGATGATTTGTAAACCTTCTCAAAGTGCTCTGCGAGAAGGTTTGCTTTTTGCAGGTCGTCACATAAGATGTCATCACCTTCCCTGAGATTAGGTATACGATCCGAAAGTTTCAACTTGTGGTTACAGTACCTGTGAAATTCTCTACCCGAATTAGCTATTCTACTTTCGCTTGTGCTTCTCCAGCGGGACTTCCCGCTTGAGTTTACGAGCTAACGAGGTGTACCCATGCATACCTAGTGAGGCTCGACAGTGATAAAGATAAGCCACTTTCTTACTAAGCCTAAGCAATCTAGCGGGTATCTTAACATATGTGCCATGCTTTCTGCGGAGTGGTACATACTTACGTATAAGTAGATGGCAAATAGAAACGAAATGCCCATAGCATTCGTCTGATTTTGCACAACAATAAAAGATCTGGTGCCAATTATACGAACTAAATTCATGCACAATCTCAGTGTAATTTGCATTCTGGAAATCAAGGCGTTCTTGCTACCATTGGCGCAGTAGGCGGGATCCGATATGCAGGGTTTCTTTCTATACTTCTAGCGGAGTATGGTAATTCTTCCTCTATAAGAGCAGAACTACTAGGCCTACTCTTGATTTCCTCGGGGCGATCGCTTACCAGAGTGTAGAGAACCCCCTAGCGACAAGAAATCGAAACGGTGGGTAGTTAGGCATACGGCCGAAACCGGAAACTTCGAACTCCTTCACAAGTTGGGAGGCCAGCAGAGTATACACTCGGCTGTGCATCGCAGTTCGACACCTAGTGTCACCCCCAAGCTACATTGAGGAAGCAGACATTGTGTGAGTTGAGAACATCTGGTCTCAGTTTTCCTCATTTGAGTCAATAATCAGTATTGAACATCTGAATAATCAGTACTGAACATTCTATAAGTTATAAGCTATAAGCAATTCAGTTCTAGCACGTGCATGTGCGGATTATCTGATTTCGATGGTTTTCTCGGGAAACATTGGATAATATATCTTCCAAAAGGATTTTGCGATAATGCGGTGATGACCACTGCTTTAGGTATGGAAGGTGCAGGTCACTGCTACGGAAGAATACCCTCATTTCAAACCGGCTTTGGGAAGGAAAGGCTTCATCTACGCGAATGTTTCAGTGAGTCATGTTTAGACTTTTTTTTTTTTGATAATCGTATGTTGTATGTATCCATCACCTTGGTGTTTTCCTTCAGGTTCTCCCCCGGCAAACTTGTGGTCTCTACACCCATACACAGTTCTTCCATAATTATCCAGGGGGATTTGGGAAACTGATAAGCTCGATCCAAGGAGGCGAACTCTTTTTTACCGTACTTCTGAATCCTGTAAGTTGTTTGTTCTGATGCGACTTTCTGATTGAAAAACTGTTTAGATCTCCATTTTCATGACTCATCAACAAAATTTTGCTCATGATAGATTGGCTTTGTATACTTTTGATAGTCTCGTGAGGTTCATCAAATGTTGGACAAATGTGAAACTGCTCTGGCAGAACCCAGTGGCTTCAGCAAAGATGTATTTCTCTCTTCTATCTCAAGAGAAGGTGCCTATATGGAGTGTAAGTTATTTACTGCCCCCCCCCCCTCATTCTGTCTATTACCTACACTCCAGTGCTGAGTCCCTATAGTGCTTCTGCGTGGCAACTTGCACGAGATGCTTGCCTTTGAGTGCCTTTTAACGCGTAATGGAAATGGTTTCGTAGTATTTTTATTCTGAAGTGCAGAATGACTATCATCTCGAGAAATGAACCGTGCATGTTTGAAAATTTGTTCAATAACGTCGCTGAGATCTGCACTATCTTCGCTAGCTCATTGACTTCATAAGAAATTCAGGGTTTCTTGCGCGAAAGAGATTCAAGATTTTGTTGAAATTGAAAGAGATTTTCAATTTTGAAACCCGAAGCACTCATCATTTGCTCACCGCCTTCATAAAGGAGCGCACATTCGCTTGGCAAAGAGGAGTAAATAGAAATTATGTGGAACATCAAAAATGGAGCTTTTTTGGCGTTGCTTTCAAAGAATCAAGCTTACAAATAAATCATAAATTTCAGAATCCCTGCAACGATTCTCGTCACAAACTGATTCTTCCCCCCTCCTTGAACTGTGAAAATTTGACACTTCCTAATGCCTTGATCGTGGGGCCGCAGAAGACAGGTAGAGATTAACTTCGAGGACCGTTGATGAATACAGTGAGGTTTGGGTACAAAAGTCTTTTCCTTACGTACGCATCCTCAGAACATTTTAGGTGTGCGTGGCTGACGCCACGCATCGTTATCAAAAAAATTTTTGTCGCCCCCCCCCCCCGCCTCACCCGAAATATCCTGGGTACGCCACTCCTACATGCGAATTGTTTCCATTTTGTTTCATTTCATTTTCCTGCTATTTTGGCGAGGGCGAGAAACGATGGTTTATGGAACAATCAATGCTTGCAATCATGAAACAAATAGTCGCTACTACTTATTGTTAGCTCAAAGTGTACTTGCATGTTCTGCAGATTGATTGAAATTTTTGATCACCTGTGCTATGTTTGAAAAGCAGCCTTTGCGCAGAAGCGCTGTTATTATATGAAGAATTCAAATGGATTTGTTATGATTATTTGTTTTTCAGGACTAAATTTGACTACCTTCGACGTCTTATCGTGACACCAATTGAATATTCCAGGGTCAACGGCACTTGCAACTTTCCTGTCATTGCATCCAAATGTTTCAACCAATGCACCGATTGCGCATACATTTGAGGAAATGCAGTTTTTTGGAGGTGCTAACTACCATCGTGAAATAGAATGGTATTCCGTTTTGTCCGTTGTTTATTTACGTAAATGTTTCTGTTACAGCCAAAGAGATTGCAGGGATTGCTCAGGCACCGTCCAGAGTGCTGTAGGTGTGCCGGAGCCGAGCTAGCGTTGAGCTAGCACCGTGCCGGCACAGCGCTACCGGAATTTTCATAGAGAATTCGATCAATATCTGGCTGGGAACGAGGCCCGCTATATGCCCCGCCCCCAACGAATGGATTCGGACAGCGCCGAGAGCGCACGGCGCTAGCTCGGCCCGGCACAGTTCCAGCACTTTGGACGGTGCCTCAGGTCGCGCTCTGCCCGTTTACCTAATTCTCAGTCAGTCATTTTAATTTTTAAGGTATGCTCACCACTTTTCCAAGTCGCGCATCATTTTTGAAAAAAGTGCTACGTATTTCGATAATGGAAACGCGGCGAAGGATGCCTTTGCTCTTATTCCAGACGCCAAAATCATTGTCATTTTGAGCGACCCATCGAGAAGAGCCTACTCATGGTACCAAGTGAGGACGATCCTTTCATGCTAATTTATTTTTTGACTTTTTTTTCGTTTACAGCATGTATTGGCGCACAATGATACCGCAGCGCTCTCTGCCAGAAATTTGTTGGAGATTCTAGATAGTGATGTCATTGAACTAAAAAGAATAAAACAGCGATGTATATCTGGAGGAAGGTAACCATTTCTACTGAGTTCTGTTTGAGGACATTTAACACGTTGACGACCGAGCCATTTTTGACCACATCAAAATGGAATGATGACCTACGGCTGCGGTTTAAACTGTTTAAGAGCTACCGCAATGCCGTGTGTTCTATATGATAACCAGGCCACCAGCGTTATCAACACATAGAAGTTACCTGGGAACTTTTCGTTTACACATGATAAATTGATGCACGAAAGTGCTAAAAGGTGGTCAGGGCGTGCATACGCGCGGATGCACATGGTCGTCAACGTGTTAAAGGCAGCTCTAGGCAAATCTGGACATATGGTGGTCTCACGTAGGATAATTTTGGGTCCTAACCAAGACTCAGGCGGCGGCTCAGATGGTGTATTCGCCGCTGCGATATCCACCTCCGAGCCGGAGCCTCATATAAAGGGACGACTTGCCTCATGCTCCCACGGTTTCACACCACGACCCACCAATTTCGTGGGTGCGCAAAGGCATTGCAAGCACGATGCAAGCCGTCTGTTGATACTTGGGATCCAGTTTGCAGGCGGCTATCTCAGCAGTGAGTGAATCATTCGCGCTGCCGCTTGGGTAGTGTCTTCGTTAGGGCTCCGAAACTACTTCCTACGTGAGATCCCTATAGGTCCAGATTTGCATGGGCGCTGCTTTTTGTAACTTAAAGGCAGGTCCGGGCAGATCTGGGAGCCCCTATTTACAATGCATTACCGAACAGGGCCTCCGTACAAATTACAGTCTGACCCAATCGGGATCAGGCTGAACCGACGGCTGAATTTGCTCGCAGCGTTGAGGATTTGCGCTGCATACGCGCACTGTCGCAGAGAGCGAAGAGATTGAGGAAAGGCAGACTAGCCAGTAGTAGACGTGACGCAACACCCTAGCGACACGGTTTCCCGCCATGCTATTAGGTTGTTACATAAGTCTTGTTACACTTAACTTCCGAACGGCGATAAGTCATGTACCTCATAATCTTTGCAGGACTCTGGGGTACCATTCGATAGAGCAAGGCAAGCTCTACAAGATGGCCTGCAAAGTTTCGCACCAACTTCGACCCTCTGTAACTTTGAATCCGAAATCTATGTCGTAGTGAAGGCTCAAAAATCGCGAAAAATTCATATCTTTGTTCAGAAAAAACCTACGAATCTCCAACTTGCTCATAAAAATTGCCCACTTTATCAAACACACATATGTACCGTTGCTGTATTTTTTTCTCATCTAGAAATCGAAAAAAGGAAATTTTTTTAGTTTTTACAAAAACGAAGCTATGCTGTTTCTATATATATGGCTATATACTCAAAGCCCTTAAAAGTATAACCTTAAATTTCCAGCTTTCCGGATACCCTAGTTTCCGAAAATTACCTAATTTAGCATTGAACACTCGAGGGAGAGAAACCAAATTTAGTATTTTGCGAATACTAGGGCTTCTGGAAAGCTGAAAATTTACGGTTATACTTTAAAGGGCTTGTAGTATATAGCTACATGAATAAAAACAGCATAGCTTTGTTTTAGTAAAAACTAAAAAATTTTCCTTTTTTTGATTTCTAAAAATACAGCAACGGTACATATGTGTGTTTGATAAAGTGCGCAATTTTTATGAGCAAGTTGGAGATTCGTAGGATTTTTCTGAACAAAGATATGAATTTTTCGCAGTTTTTGAGGCTTCACTACGACTCAGATTTTGAATGCAGAGTTACAATGGATCAAAGTTGGTGCGAACTTTTGCGTACCATTTTGTAGAGCTTGCTTTGCTCTATCGAATGGTATCCTGGAGCCCTGTAAAGAATATGAGGTGCTTGACTTATCGCCGTTAGAAGTTAAATGTAACAAGACTTATGTAACAACCTAATAATTTTGATTATTGAGGATTGGGGCAGACTGTATAGCTCGACCGCGAATGCAAAATACTGTTTTTGGAGCGAGAAACAGCTTCAGAAGTTGAACGGCCCCTCGATTCAGTGACGTCATTACCACAAGAATCGCGCCGGCACGGCCGTTGCGACGCTGTCATTGGCTGCAGTGGCTTGTCCTGCCACGATTTACTACTCGGTAATTACGTCACTGAATCAAGGGTCGGGTGTGTTTACGCTTCTGGAACTGTTTTTTTTCTCCAGAAGCAATATTTTGCCCTCGCAGTCAGGCGGGTACGGCAGGAGTCACGATTTTTTTCGAAGCGATGCCGACCCGAGGGTGGTGGAACGAAAGCCGCCAGGTTCAGCCGCCTTTCGCGGCCAGCTGGTCCTTTCGCAGCGTTGTTGCATGTTGTTCCAGGACCAGCAGTCCGCGGAGGCGGCTCAAACTGGCGGCTTTCGTTCCCCCACCCCCGACCCGACGTCAAGCAGTACAAGCCTAGCTCCCGTTAGTACTCCTGCCGCAGTGTTACTTGCATCGACCCATTATCTGCCACCCCCCCCCCCCCCCCGCCCCCTGCTATGACGCTATGCCACTTTATCACCGGAGAGTTTTTGTGAGGCACAAAATCTGGGCGCGGCGAGAGCCCGCCGCGCGTTCTGCCCAGACACTGTCTTCGAAGGCACCGTCCACCCAAAATGGAGTTGATGAGATTTCGATGCCTAACAGTGGCGGGGCTCCCAACCATTGTAAAATCTCCAGTGACCGTATTCATCTACGAACCCCGAGGGTTAAACTAACCCTGGAGGGTTAAACTTACGTGATTCATCAGGGTTAATTTAACCCTAGCTCATAGCAAGGTTAACTCTACCCTAACACTTCATACAAATATCGCATCTAATAGTTTATGGAAAACGACCAACGAGTATTGTAGTATTTAGTATTGGTTGTTGTTATAGTATTTAGTTTCGACTTCGTTTTATGTTCATACTAGCTGGCTTACCCGGCTCCGCCGTATGTTCCAAATAGAAAATTCCATTTCTTAACCGATCCGGACCAAACTTGACACACATACACTTCGGGCCCCGGCGGGGGTCATAGGCTACTTTTCGTCATCGATCGATATCGATTTTATCGATTTTTTTGCAAAATTTGAGCTAGGGGGCTGGAATTTGGCAGAGGGGGGGTGTAATCGAGCATGCTGATCACCCCCACGGGGGTGATCAGCATGCTCGATTACCCCCCTGTGCCAACTCCCAGCCCCGTAGCTCAAATTTTGCAAAAAACCGATAAAGTCGATATCGATCGATGACGAAAAGTAGCCTGTGACACCCGCCGGGGCCCGAAGTGTATGTGTGCCAAGTTTGGTCCCGATCGGTTCAGAAATGGAATTTTCTATTCGGAACATACGTACAGACAGACAGACAGACAGACATACAGACAGACATACAAACAAACAGACATTCAGCTTTATATATAAGATTCGAAGTACATGAAACACTGACTTCGCGAGAAAAAGAATTCTAGCTTTGGTGACAAATAAATGCGACGAGGAAAAATGGCATTCCACTCTGACAAGTGCTAAAGCAGAAGAACCCCTGTGAATTTAGCACGTACTTAGGCATTCTGTGATGTGAGTTTGCACAGCGCACGCGTAACTGACACCTTGACTCTCCAGGGTTAGTTTAACCCTCAGGGTTGATGAATACGGCCACAGGTTTGTTGATCGATACGGGTAGATCGCGTTCCGTGGTAAATCCTACCCTATGGTTGATGAATACGGCTAATGAACCCTGAGGGTTAAACTAACCCTGGAGGGTAAACTTAACCCTCAGGGTTCGTTGATGAATACGGCCACAGATGTATTCCCGTAGGAACTATCAAAGTGGCTGCCTTTCGATCGCAAGATGTCAGGTTCGAACAAGCCCCTTCATTGTTGCTGGAGTCAACGTGTTAAAACGAAAGGCAGCCATATCAATGGTACATATGGGAAGTTTTTTTTTCGAAATTTGCTTCGGATGACGGATCGCTCCTTGGTCCTTCCCTTTGAGTGGGCGTGACATTCGCCCCGCCCATCCTGCTCTCCCAGCTAATCACGGTTCCACAAATTTGGATGGACGGTGCCCTTAACTAGCATTTTAGATATGCACACCATCTGGCGCGGTGGCTGGAGTTCTATCCCATGTCAAATTTGATTTTGATTGATGGGGAACGGTTGCGTGACGAGCCGGTCCAAGTGAGATCCTTCGTTGCATCTGTTTTGTTGTTTTGAGTATTCGGATGACTATTTGACGGTATTTTGACTTTTGTTACAGGTCATGACGGAGCTTACAAAAAGCCTCAATCTTCCGTATTTTGACTACAGTAGCGCCATACGCTATAGCTCTTCAAAGAGATTTTTCTGCAAGGTGACATCTTTTTCTTCGCTCTTCTATGATCTAACATGATAATGTTCAGTTTACTAATGGAAGCGCGAAGTGCCTTGGGCGTAGCAAAGGACGCATCTATCCACCTATGTCTCCAGAACTTTCAGCACGACTCAACAGGATATTTCTTCATGATAATATCGCTCTACACAAATTTTTAGTGAAAAACCATTTGCCTGTGCCAAAATGGTTGCAGTCGTTGTTCCCACCTTAAAGGCAGTGGCTCGCAAAACCAAACACCTCGAAGTTTTGATATGGAAGGTTCCTTGCATCCCAAAGATGAGAACAGAGCAGGTCCGAGCGCACTACATGCTGCCCCTCCTTAGAAAACTGTTCTCAAATCCGTGCGCGCAAGGCATTCTTACACGCGTTCGTACGAGCTTGCGGTTTCACAGCCACAACTTCCACAGCCAGAGTCGGCGTGCCGCAATGCTATAAACATGAGGGTCCCGCAACGACTCTACGTTTATAGCCATGGCCGCGACTGGTTCACTCGTCCAAACTCAAAATGAAAACCGTTGGAAAATGCGGGTTTTCGACAGTTTCGTGCTTTTCAAAGTGTGTTTTGAAAATGAGCGCGTCGTACCCCAGTTAAGCGAAAAAACTTTAGGTCGAGGATTTGCCCAGCCACTGCCTTTAAATCCAGTATCAGCAACTAGTACGTTTCGCTAGTTTTGGCGTTTTGTTGAGTGTACGTATAGAGTGTGGTCATTTTTGATGCGTCTCCTCTATTTTAGTTGTGCAAGTTAGCTTGCGATTCCCTCTCAAATGAGGCAAAGCTTAGAATCAGCCAAATCGCGCGGGTAGGTGACGCAAGCCAAGAAGACTTAGTGCTCGTCGCGCCCATACTTGCGTTTTCTTTTTACGAAATTTTCTGCGCGCAAGTGATGTGACAATGAGGATGCACTATTTGTAAAAATTTATTATCATCATGTATGTGTTTTTTATCTACTTATGCGGGTCATATTTGTTATCGTTGAATCTGATTGTTGCGGAACCGCCTTTGTCAATGAATATTTTCTTTTTTTGCACGAATAATCTTGAGCGGTCATCCTCGTGAACGTATCCCTATTACGTTTCTTGCTCATTCTTCATCTTAATCCAGATCTTGTTCAGCAATGCCAAAGTATTACTGTGACTACTGTGACACCTTCCTGACGCACGATTCTCCATCTGTCCGCAAAACTCACAATGGTGGACGCAAGCACAAGGAGAATGTTCGCATGTTCTATCAGGTGAGTGTGTTGTACTCACAAGGAAAGGAAGGTTGCTCGAAGTGGCCTTTTGAAATGGGATGTATACTGCTTTGTAGAGCTTGGAACGCTGATTCCAAATCTACCTTTGCTATCTGCTGCGGGCTTCTGGGCGACGAGTTATGAAGGTTTTTGTGAGTAAAAATCTGAATGCAAGAGTAGGCTAAAATCAGTCGTAACATTTTTTTATAGGGCTTAATTGGTAGTCGGGTCACTCGGTGCAACAAATATTCTTAATTCAAGTATACAATCCGCTGTTGCCTCATTTAAACATTGGGAAAAGGTTACGATTAATTTTACCCTATTTGCATTCAGTTTCTTACTCACAAAAACCTTCATAACTCGTCGCCCAGAAGCCCGCAGCAGATAGCAAAGGTAGATTTGCAATCAGCGTTCCAAGCTCTACAAGGCAGTATACACCTCATTTCAAAAAGCCACTTCGATCAACCTTCCTTTCCTTGTCAGACACTTTTTCCGACGCGCCGCTAGCCCGATCCTTCAAACGCGTTGTACGTACCGGAACGTATAATAATTATGATCACGATCCGATGATAAAATCCACATTTTTCACTAAAGTACGATATTATAGTGTTAGATCTGTTGTTAACACATTGACGACTGCTGACAGGCCTTGTGTGTCAAGCAATGACTACCACCTGGGACCGCTTGAAACACATGGCGTGTCAAGGTTTGAACTTCGTTAAAATGACTACCTTGATACAAACTCATTTCAGAAGGTTTCCTTTGCTGTGAATTTAGAAATGACCTCTATCTTTGCCAGCCTTCCACAGCTACTGTAGGTATACTGTAGATGGCAGTATGCGTGATTTTATCTTAGAAATGCTGACTCGTTTGTGTGAAAGCTCTTGGTCCCAAAAGGCAAACAATCAAAATTTTGCGTTGTCGTCAATGTGTTAAACATAAAGGCTACTGCATGACGAAGGCGCAGAAGCAGCATCAGTTGGGCGGGCGCGAACGCGGAGCGCGCGTATTTTCATCGTTGTAAATCCTGCGCCTCATGCGCTCTGCGCCTAATAAAGCCGCGTTCGCGCTCAAGGATATTACGACTTCGTCATGCAGTAGCCTTTATATACCTGCACAAAACGACATACCTGCTTACACCTCTGGCCCGACTGACGACGTCAGATGGGGGTGCTTCCGCTTCATATAAAGTATGATACCATGATGATACTTCTGTTATTGAAATATTGGGTTGTCCCGAAAGTTTTGTCCGTTTTTTTCATCGCTCGCATAAACTCACAGAACACCAATCCATGGATGACTTAGGTACCATTTGATTCAGATTTTTATCCTCTTTTTTATAGTTATATTTGCTTTGTGACCTACCCTGTCTTTGCAATGTTATCGCCATGGCTTTTTGAGCAGCTCAGTATTACGCCAAATTTTTACTGAATTTTAAAATTTTTATCTTGACGTTTTCAAAGAGCGCTGGTAACTGTTATGTAGAGAAATCCTTTGGCTATATTGTACCCATTTTGAGTTACGTAGGCGACGTTTATCAAGTCCGTTATAATTATTTATTTGATAAAAACCGCGGCTCCTTGATTACGTTTATCACGTAAAAGTATAAGCTCCTGCAAGACGAAGGCGGTCGGTTCGATGAGCGACGTGGTTGTGACGCGGCTGTGACGCAGTCATGTCGCAGTCGCGTTGCACACCGAACCGACCGCCTTCGTCTTGCAGGAGCTTATACCGAAAATTCCAAAAATCTGCCTTTTCAAAGCAAATCAAACTTGGTTCTGTTGCATAAATAATGTGTAATAAGAATCACGTTTTATTTCACAGAAACTTCAAAAGCTTTCGTGTATTTGCTCAGTTGCGTGTTTCATGTTTTGTGTTTCATAAATCGAGACCTCCCAAGAAAAGTTTTTCTTAAATTAAAAGAAGCAGATTAAGAGAACCAAAAATATTTCCTCGTAGTCCGAGAATTGGTCTACCATACTTAACCTTTACCGAAACTTTGGAATGAAATTTTTAAAAATGAGCCTAAGTTTGAGCAGATAAAATTGACGGGTGGCGAATTTTGGCAGTTATCAAGAAAAGCATACAAGGTTATGGTACGAAAATGTATCCATAAGAAAGAGAAGAAAAGATGCATCGAATGAATGTTGAAAGTTATTTAGGTCTTTGTTTTGCGTGGTTTTATAGTGGTTTGAAAAAATGGAGAAAACTTCCGGGCAATTACAAAAACGACAGATATAAAACGAGATAACGGTAGAAATTCCGAACCTAAAGAAGTCGACAGACGACAAATAGATTAACATTTATAATTTGTAATTCGTACGTAAATCATCAATGAAAGAGGGGTTAGGGAATTTGCCTACCCGAAAGACTTGCCGGAATGTAGCTTTAGCTATCAATTATGCATTTACACCTATTAGCGCCGTAATCAGAGCTGATCCGTGCACACGCAATAGTCTCAGCCTTGATCCAGCAAATCGTGAAAAGGCTATTTCGAAGTGAAGTCGAATTTAAAGTTTAGTAACGATATCAGTCTGATTGGGCTAAAAACTGGTTTTCAGGGGTTTTCCAATACGCTTTTTTTTTTGAATATGCCAGTGCTTTTGCTTCACACATTCAAATGTCTTCTTGAGCTAGTTATTTTAATAAATCTTAACGCAAATTTGAAGACAGTCGAGCACAAGCGGAAAGATTTCATGTTTAGGAAAATCAACCAAACCAAGTTTGATTACGTTTGATGCTAAGGCTAAAAACTAGAATATTTTTCACCAAGAAGCATCTTACAATCAGATCTGCAATTGACTTTGAGCACCGTCCACCCAAAGTGGGAGTTCACGAGATTCGATGGCATACTAATGTGGGCCCCCACATTATGCCAACCTTGAAAAGTTCCCCGCAAAAGATTGCTTCCGGAGCGAGAAATCTGCTCCGGAAGGTATGCAATCCAGAGCTGGTCACTCCGCCCATTTTGCAGGTTTGGCGGGCTGCGGCGCTGATATACGCTGGGATAAAACAGCGCCGCAGCCCTGCGACCTGCACTTCCAAAGGTCCCGCTTGTTCTCCAAAATAGGGTTTTCAAGGTTTTCGGGGATTCTCGACTTTATATTTGAGATCAGGGCCTTCAGAAGGCCGGAAGCGACAGAAACATGGAAGTCGAGAATTTGGATGGACGGTGCCTTTAACAAATGGGCAGAAAATTGCACAGTTGCTTATAGGCCTACTATTAACGATAGATCCACTGCACGTGCTTGCAGCCGTTCGTAACAACATTCTTTAGCATGTTCGCCAAAACAGAATAAAGCCATTTCAACTCACATCTAATTCGCAATGAAATCCTTCTTCTTCTTCTTCTTCTTCTTTATCTTCGCCATTGTCCCGCGGGTGCAGGGTCGGCGGTGGTGCATTTTTGCTTCCATTTGACTCGATCAGCTGCTTCTTGTGGTTTGAGCTTTGCAATGTGCAGGTCGTTTCGAATGGTGTCCAACCAGCGTTGCTTCGGACGGCCACGTGGTCTCTTCCCCTGTGGATCTAGACGAAGTGCTGTTTTTGCTACTGTATTATCTTCACTTCGTAAAACGTGACCATACCATCGTAATCTGGCACCTCGCATCTTATCCGCGATAAGTGCAACTCCGAAAATGTGTCGTACATCATCGTTCGTGACGCAGTTTCTTCTCGTTAGGCCAAGTATCCATCTTATCATTCGCGTCTCCATCGTGCTCAGGATCTGCTCGTGTTTTCTTGTTGCTGGCCAACATTCGGCTCCATACAGTGCGACTGGCCTCACCACAGTCCGATACACTTTCGACTTGAGATACAACGGGATTCGTCGGTCGCAGAGTACTCCTGTTACTTGCCGCCATTTTAGCCACGCCGTGTTCGTCCTAGCACGAGCATCAGTGATCGTGTCGCAATCCGACGTCACTCGGGAGCCCAGGTATTTGAACGTCGTGACCTTCTTCAGCGGCTGCCCATCGATGCTAATTGTGCCATCGGTTTGCTCTCCGCATTCCAGGTACTCGGTCTTTGCTACGTTCAGTCGTAGGCCATATTCCGCTAATCGTGTCTTCCATCTCACAGTCGCCTCTTCAAGCTCTTGTCTCGATCCGCTTGCTAGCTCGACGTCGTCTGCGTAAAGGAGCGTCCACGGATGCGGCAGCTGGATGTCCTTGGTCACCGTGTCCATGCACAGTATAAAGAGAAGCGGTGATAGAGCCGATCCTTGGTGTACTCCGACTTGGATTGGGAATGGCATTGACGTTCCCACTGCACAGCGTATGGCGCCCGTCGTGTTCGTATAGAGGAGTTTGATCCAGCGAACATACTCTTCTGGAACGTCGTGTTGTCTCAGCGCATACCAGATCAGCCCGCGTGGTATCCGATCAAATGCCTTTTCCAAATCCAGGAATGCGAAATGAATCGGAATCCGTTTCTCCAAGTGCCTTTCCATTAGCAATCGTACCGCGTGGATGGCGTTGATGGTGCCAGATCCTTTTACAAAGCCGCATTGATTCGGGGTGACCTCTACTATACTTCGAATGCGTGCGTCGATGACTCGTTCGAAGATCTTCATCGTGTGGCATAGCAAGCGTATTGGTCGATATGTTGAACAGTCGGCTTGCTTGCCAGGCTTTGAAAGCTTCTTTCTTCTCCTTGATCACTTGCTGGACTGACTCAGACCACCACCAGATCTGCTTGTCTACAAACCGGCGTCCTGGCTTGGTGGTTCCCAAAATTGTCTCGGCCCTCGATCGTATCTGCGAAGTAATCCGATTCCATTGCTCTTCAATCGACTCCTTATCATCCGTCGACACCCTCAGACCGTTAAGAGCATCTCTGACTTGCTGGCGATGTTCGGTGAGCTTCCACCATTTGATCCTCTTTGTAGTCGTCCTTCTGGCTCGTGAACGTAAGTGGATGTTCAGTCGAAGATCCAATACGAGCAACCGGTGTTGTGGCGCAAATGCATGTGTCGCCGTGGGTATAACCTTCGCATTCAT